GAGAATGTTCTAGTCAGTTTTCTTTACCGAACTGAATATTAAGTCTTTCGGAGTAACAACATACAGGTCAGAAATGCCAAGTTCAAACTCCAGGAGTTTCTGTCTGTGACAAACAAAATATGGTACTACATTATGTAACTGTTAATAAGATCATACAACATTGATCTGCCAGTTACATTGCACCGAGCGAAAGGCATCTGGTTGCTGCACCGAGCGAAAGGCATCTGGTTGCAACACTGTTGCCACAGGCCTCTGATTACTCTGAGTTCCTTCCTGTGTTGCTGTTCTGCACAAATGTATGGCCTGCCATGGTGGTAGTGTGGAAACAAAGGAGAGGATATAAAATACTGACAAGCTACTGATTGTGAAATCATAATCAAGGCATAGTAATAAATGAACTGAGGTATCATTTCATGTCTTCATCTTCTCAGTGTGCTAAAAGGAGGCAGCCTAGAAGCAGTGGGTGACAGGCCAAGAGTCTTGAGTGCAAGAACTCCTTTTAAGATTCTCACAAAGAAAAGATCTGCCTTCGCCACAACCAAACATCACAACTTTGGTTATCCATGGTGTCTGGAACTTTCCACGTGATCAATGTCTGTGGACTGATGTAACATATTTGTGGGTTTTGTAGCAGCCAAACCTTACTTCCAAATCCCAAAACTGCCTTCAGATCTAGACTTCTGGACTTGTTATTTGAATTCAAAGAAGCATGATTTAGTAATAGAAAGAAGCAGTCAATCAATTAGAATTAATAATACTGTGAAGGCTACCACAATATGCCAAAAGCTTTTAATGGTAGTGTCTGTTTTCATAATTGAACACAAAGATGACAGTACTGGTTCCTGCAAACTTTGGAAGCTACTGTCTAGGGAAGTTGGAACTTACACCTCAGGCTGCCTAGTTAGTTGGAAAAAGGAAAATGGGAATGTGGTCTATTAAGTGATAAAAGCCTGTATTAAATTAGCAATTCATATTTGTCTTTCACTAAGAATACAAGCTGCTTCTATAAAAGTCTATGAATTTTCCTGTTCTCAGATGCAGAAGAAATATAATCAAGTCCAAACTTCTAAATTTTCAGGCTCCAATTCCACCCATTGCTTTCACTTGAACTATTCCCTTCCCAATTGTACCAATGTCCTCTTGTCTTTCCTTTTGTAATAAAGTTTCCACATATCTCACTGTCTTGGATGATCTCTTCTGAGTAAACTACTTTAAATGTGATGCCTAACCGCAACAGAGAATAGGGGAGCATTTCTTCCCTGTTCTATGAACACTATACAGTGCCATAAACTGCAATCATGAAAACAAAGAGGAAGCACTACAAATGCTTTTCACAATAGTGTACGGGAATATGCTGTCATGACTGTTAATACTCCGATAACAAGCCATTAGAAAAAGCACTGTGAAAGATGGACTCTGAGAAGTCTAGACAGGGGAAGGCAGGCACCTTTTAAAAATGCTGTTACTACAATGAGTTGTGGGGCCCTAACCCCAGGTATTAATATTAGAACCTGGCTATCCCTCTAATGAAACTGTGGAAGACAAGGTAGGTCTTCACAATTCTCAACATCTAAGATTCTTCTAACCAAAAGTAGGGCTTCAGTTTCACCTTTGCATGTTCTTGGAGTCAGTTCAGCACTCTAATAAACAGGGTTTTGAATTCTGATATCTATTACTTAACATATACTAGCTTTGAGTTGCTTGCAAATTTAGCAAGCAAGCCTTCTACATCTTCATTTTATTCTTTAATCCATGTTGGAGCCTAGAGAGCATCATAGTCATCTCAACCTATTCCCTTTAGTACCAACTCTGTATATCTTGCTTCCCCAAAAAGTAAATTAGAGTCATTGAAGAGTGCAAAAAAGCTGAGGAGCTGAGTGAACAAGAGAGCCAGGTAACATGCAAAAACTAGTAATAGGGTGGCAAGAGAAAACAGAGGATCTTGGTGGGTGGAGTAGTTCAAGCCTGTTTTAAACTATCATGCAAAGCTTTCTGCAGAGCACTGAGCTTTCCAAGGCACAGTCAGTGACCATGGATGGCACTGGGCTGCTGAATGAAGAACAGAAGTGTGAGGAATAAGCAATGCTGCAGTTGGCTTAGGGCCACCCAGTCTAGACATGTGAATCCAGGTCTAGGGAGCACATTTCCATGATTAGCCCCTGCTAAGAAGGAGGTACAAGATGTTCTTCATCCAGCAGAATACAAGCAGGGCACCATAAGGGCCAAAGGGCCATAGTTGACACTCAAAATCACCTGAGCACCATTGGGAAGATCCCTCTCAGTTTTGCAATAAGATTTTAGGGTTCCAGAACATCCAGTTTATGCCACATGGCTCCTTCTATAACCAGTCAAAATGAGTAGGAGTGGGTTCATATCCTTCATGTTTACTACATCTAAACTCAATAATCATGGCAAAGCTGATGTAAGTGAAGGACTATTGTTTATCAGTCAAGCTTCTCCTTGAAGACACTCAGATTTAGAGCTTAAAGATTTTCTTTCCAGCTATCTACCTATATTTCCAACTGTCCAGCACTCAAGATTTGAGGGAAATGAGAAGACTAATGCCCAGTGGGTAAGTAACTCCTCCTTGGCATCCGATTTTGATAATATCTCCCAGATGCTGAACACCTCAGTGGCAGCTCCAGCATTGGAAGGTTTATTGTACATGCTGGAGGCATTAGAATGAGGTAAGGGCAACTGCTTAAAGAACTCTAGGTGAGCTTATCACCATGGGTCTAGAGCTGACTAGATGTAGCCCTACCAAGCCTAACAAAGACTACAAATCCAGAATGGCAACATGGTCCCAAACCCTGACCTCTAGGGACAAGATAGATTTCTTACATGATGAACCTCCTCCCTGCTAGATGGCATCCACTGATGATGTTTGCCCAGACAAGCATGGCTTGTAAGAACCTGCATACTCTGCTCCCTGCTTCCCATCCTAGTTTCATCTATGCTTTTCTTCCTTTCTCTCCAAATTCCAGCAGCTAAACTGGCCTTCCTTCAGTTCCTTATATATCCCAAGTTCTATCTCCAACTGATTCTTCAAATGCTCTACTTCCACTATTGCCAATAAATTCCTACCAGGATGGCCCTCACACTGTTAATAAGTGTACACTCTGAACAATACAAATGGAAATTACATAAAACCATTAGAGAGTGTACAAAATCAGGCAGATTCTGAAGGGAGTAGACACTTGTAAGAAGGGTACAGCATGGGATGAGTTCCCCACTTTTGATGACCTTTGGTAGACCTTGGTCAGCGTTATGGGATGGGTGGTGGTGGTGGTGGTGGAACAGCTAAAACTCTGATTTAAACTCTGATAATGCTAAAGTTTTTCCAGAGTAGTAGTACCAATATAAATGCTCAGTATTAGCATATTAGAATTCCCATCACTCCTCATCATCACCATTTGGTATTACAAATTAATACAAATATAATAGCAATATAATAGAATTAGCTAGTCTAATGGGAAGATAGCCATGTCTCCTCATGGTTTCAATTTGCATTTCCCTGATGAAAAGTGAGGTTGAACACACTTTCATGTTTGTTGGCCAGCTGGATATCCTCTTTTGAAAGTGCTTCCTTGTCCTCTTGCTTATTTTTTCATTAGGCATCTGTGATTTTTTCATTAATTTGTAGAAATTCTCTACATATTCTGGATAAAAACCCTTTGTTGGTTATGTGTTGTATCTTCTCCTGATAAGGAAAATATTCAACACAGCCGTCAAGGTCAGCAAACCGCTTTTTTCCCTCCTGTTGGCAAAGCCCTCCCAGCTCCCTCCTCCCCTCCTCCAGGCTCCTCTTTTGACCTGCACATGCCGAAATGCCACATATCAAAATAATATAAATTGCTCCCCTTGCTTGTGCTCAGGGCTCGGACCTTGGGAGATACTCCCCTCTGAGCCCACCGGTGTAAAATAAACCTCAACACTCCAAGACCTCCGAGTGCCGCTTGGTTCTTCCGTCAGTGACCCAGTCCAGGTTTTCCAGTATTTTCTGTAACACTCCCACTTTGTGACTTGTTCTTTCTCTCTCTGATTGTTGGCTTTTGACAAACAGGTTTTTAATTTTCATATAGTCAAATTTATCAATCTTTTCTTTTGTAATTTTATATTTTGAGACCTATTTAAGAAGTCTTTCCCTAACCAAGGTCAACATAATAGATTCCTATATTATCTAGAAATACTTTACTTTAGCCTTTCATATTGGATCTATAATTACATGAACTGATTTTTGTTTATGGTGTTAGATCAGAGTAAAGCTCAATTTCTTCCATATAAGTATCCAATTTCTTCAGCATCCTGCCATGGATCCGTGGTGCCACCCTTGTCATAAAACCATAGTGGTTCTCTCTGTATTGTGTTGCTCTATTTTTCAATCTTTGCACCAACATATACCACATACAGGAAAGCAACTTCCCCCACTTTGTTCCTCTTCAATATTATCTTGATTATATTTGATCTTCGGCATCTCAATATAGATTGGTTTGTCCAGTTTCACAAAAATAAGTAAATGAATAACTTAAATCTAATCAGGACTCTGGCTGGGGTTGAATTCAATATATTAATCAGTTTCAGAAGAATTGACATCTTTATAATATTGAGTCTTCCAATCCATATATATAGCATATTCCTCTATTTACTAAAGTATTATTTAATTTTTCAGTACTGTTTTATAGTTTTCTGCAAAGAAGTCCTACACTTTGTTGTGCGGGTGGTTGCTGTTGGATTCATTACTTGGTATTTGATATTTCTGATGCTACTGTAGATAGTGTGTATGTATATATATATATATTAATGTCCTTATCTAAGTGTCTTGCCAATGTATGGAAAAGATAAATTGATTTTTACATGTAGACTTTGGTTTTCTCTTTTTCCCCATTAGTTTCTTGAAAATACTGCTCTACTGTTATCTTGTTTGTATGCTGATGTTCTGAAGTCTGGTGGCAACCTGATTTTTTTCCTTTGTGACTTTTTCTTTTTGCCTGGGGACCCAGCATGAAGCTTAGTATCTAAGTGACCACCACACACACTTTCACACATGCAAATCTGCCTTCCCAACTTCTGGGATAGTTTTCTGACCCACAAGTTTCTAGTATCTGTGTACTTCCTCACAGTCTTCCTGTTTCCTTGACTGCTGTTTTCTTAACAACTCTAGAGATTTAACCTCATTTCATCCTGATCTGTTTTTTGTTCCAAGGTTTGCCTTGGATTTTCTTGTCCTGGTTTATCTATTCCTTTGCTAATAATCAAAATATCTGAGTGATATACTGCTTTAGTTTTACTTGGCCTGAGTGTAATGGCTGAGAATGTAACCCAAGAGGACAGGTTTCACAAGCTGTCTGGTGTTTACTCAACAAGTGTTTAAAGAAAGAGAAAAAGAGTGGTTGTGATAATAGCATAGGGGAGTTAACTGAGAGAGGGTTAAACCTCAGGCTCAGGTTTCTTTTGATACTGTTTAGATGCTTAAAAGGAAATATAAGTATCTTCAATATTAACACTCAAGGAATGCAAGAGGAACTTTTAAATAATGGGAGAGTTTTTTCAGGGAAAAAAGCTAGGAAACCTCTGAAAAAGTCTATTCATTAGAAAGAAGACTGGTAAGTACTCACCAGTTTTTGTGAAACTTCCCAAGAAGAAAAATGGTTTTCAAAAATGTAAGCTAAAAACAGTGGGTTAATAAAGATAAAGATGTAAAAATCAATACCAAAGATACTTTGTAATTGGTAAATAAAAAATAAGAAAAGATGTTAAGCAATTTGCTCAGAAGACCTAAAGATAGTATCTTGGAAGAAAGGCTAGTAATGACCTTTCTTAGACAATTCTTTCAAATGCATTTTAAAATATTCTTCTAACTTCTATGTAGGAAATAATGAAGATTCCCTGATCTGAAGCATAAACTCGTCCAAATAGCTAAGGAATGAAAAGTTACTATCAGGCCATATTTTGTAGCTTTCTAAACTGCCCTAATCGCACTGATTTCTAACTTCCCAGGTTGTAGCCCAAACACTGTCTTGCAAGTCAATTCCTACAACTTGAGATGCATTTTCTTATAGAGGTAAATTAGATATATAAGGCTAGGTCCTAATGACCATTAAATCCACTCTGTATCTGAAATACAAATAACATTATTAAACCTAACCATCGTGTATAAGGAGGTTTGTAATGTGCTTAACATTCTACCTAGGACTCTAGCGTCCCATCTGGGAGGCTGGAATAAAGAAACTTGCTGAGACAAGGTCTCCTGTAGGGGAGAAGTGGGTGGTGTGGCTGGATGGGATGGAGGGATAAGAACAGACTAAGCTCCAGAGGGTTGGGGTCTCCCAGAGTTCTCTTCTGGGCATACTTGTACATCGCAGGCCAACTTTCTAGTTACTCTCTTATATTTGCAATACTAAAGGCACCCCCAGGAGAAACAATTTCTCAAGCATCACTTTTCTTTGCTTAAGAGAGATGGCTTCTACACAGCAGTTTAGCTCAGTCACTTTTGACGTTGCCCAGGTAATACTTACCTGTCGTTCAACTTGCCGTTCTCTTTTGACATTAAGTAGCTGTTTTTGAAGAGATCTTATCTGTTCTCTTCCTTTTTCCTCCCTAGATGAAATAAGAATGATTTGTGTTTGAGCAAGGCTTCTCAAACTTTAGCATGCCAAGGGCCACCTGACCGTGAACCAATTCCTGGGCTGTACCTGGAGATTTTGATTCAGTTGTCTGGGGTGGGCCCTGCAATTGGCGCCTCTTACAAGTTCCCAGGTGATACTGGTCCATGGAGCACACTTTCAGTAACACTTTTAAAAAGACCATGATTTGTTTTAGTATGTTGGAGGATTTTCTGGCTTATCAGTATTGTATCTAAGATAGCTGCCTCTGAGAAAAAGCTAAAAGGAGGAGAAATAGGAAGAAGAAGAATCCTTTCTTGTCTGAGCACTTCACATATTCTTACCTCAAAATAACCTTAGGAGGTAGTCTCTATCATTATCCCTGTTTTACAGATGAGGAAAATGCAGCTTAGAGAGCTGAAGTACACCTTGCCTTGGGGGACATGAGAATGTGCCTCACAGACCTCCCACTACAGGGGGTTACGTGAACCAGGGTCCCAGCTCCAGGCTCTGAAATCCTTCCCTGTGTGTGCTCCGAGACCACACTTCCCCCACTGACTGCTACCAACCAATTTTTCCGTGTGGCAGGGATACTGAGGCAGGCCTTTCCTGGGAGACCCAGGACTCCTCTGATGGGTGACTTGAGCTCAAGGGTTCCCTGATGACCTTGCTAAACCATCCTTAGACGGCAGGACAGTCTCTTCCATCCAACATTCCCTCTTTTTTACAGCACTGCATCTGAAGACTTTCCTCTCACTCAGGTGACTCCCCTGATAAAATCTTTACATAATCTCATCATTACATCTATCAGAAGACACAGACTAACACAGTTGCCGTGGTCACACAAACAGTAAATGGCAGAGCAGGATTCATACACAGTACTGCCTGAATGAGAACTTATACTTTATGTTATTGTTTCTGTTTGCTCTTAGAAACAGAATTCTGCTTATCTCCAGCAATCCCACTATTTAGGTTTAAAACAAACAAAATAACATAAGAATAAACAAAATAATAACTGCCTTAGCTCAGGCTGCTATAAAAAAATATATTAGATTGCTTATAAACAACAGAAATTTATTTCTCAGTTCTGGAGGCTATGAAGTTCAAGATGAAGGTGCCTTCATATTTGGTATTTGGTGAGAACCTGTTTCTAATAAAGTATAAGGAAATAAGTTTTTTCCAGACTGCAAGATCTTAATATATTTACCTTCTATGCACCTTTTCTTCAAGAAGCTACAGAAAGACATACTCCAACAAAATGAGGGATTACAAAAAAACCCAGGAAGAAAGGGGGTCTAGGAAACAGGGTCAAAAGTGAGTTGAAGGAGATGAAGGGAAGGCCCAGGACAATTGCAGTGCAGCAGGCCCTAGGAGCAACCAGCATAAAGAGGCAGGAGAATAGAAGAAAGTCTCAAAAGGTCTTCAGCAAGAATCTCGTTAAATTAGTTTAGCAAGAATCCTCTATCCTTTATGTCTCTTAGCAATTTTCCATCCACTGACTCCCTGACTTTTGTCCTTGGCTATAAGTCCCCAGCTGCCTTTGCTATATTTGGATTTGAGCCAGATCTGTCTCCCCTACTGCAATAGTCTTGACATCTGTAATAGTCCTGAAAAAAGTCTTCCTTACCATTTTAAAAAGTATCATTATAATTAGCATATAAACAGCATAAAAACTAAACATACTCTTTACAAAAGAAACAAAATTATATCTCAATAAAGCTCTTATTTAATAAACTAAAGAGAAAATTTTATCTTATACCCTTCACTAAACTGCATGTGACCTTAAAAATGTCAGTCACACAATATTTAAAATACAAAACACTATTTATTATTAATTTGCCCAAGTCAGAAAATAATTTTCCAGTTGAAATAAATCTAAATCTATGCCTGCCTAATTGAAAGAAAATTAAAAGAAAAAATTATTATAATCATATACATAAAGTTAATCACTGGCAACCTGCATTAAGACTATTTTCTTCTTATGTAGCAGTATACATATTTCTTGATAGGCTTTTTTGAAATTACAAATAATTTCAAATTATTAAAAATAATTTCAAACACTGTAATATTTCAAAACATAATAGGAATGTATAAGGAAAAAGTAGACAATTTGCCATCTCCCTTTTCCCCTCCATACCATCCCTGATGTAACCAGTGTTAACCCTTTTGATGTAGATCCTTCCATATCTTTCTCTATGCTTTTACATGAGTGAGATTTTTTAAAATAAAAGTCATACTATATACATAACATTAACTTTTTTTCACTTATCTATGTACAAGGACCATCCCTCCAGATCATAGAGCTCTAATTCATTCTTCTGATTATGTTGAATTTCTGAAAGTATAAAAACCTTTGGAATTAGTTGAAAGGCTCTGGGGAAGACAACTTTGCTTGGTATTCTTTTTATTATCACTTGTATTGCTCAGGGACTTTCAGTGAACTCAGTCAAAAGAAAGATTACTACAGAATAGGAGGACGGTTCTTGATAAAATGTAGACACAGGTAATTAAAGCCTAGAAATCTGAATTATTGTCCCAGCAGAACTAGGAATAGAATCCAAATTTCTGACTTCAAGTTGCCTTTCCTGGAAAGCATAAATATGATTTGCTTTAGAAATCAAGGACTCCTAGTAAGGGTTTTATAGCACTTTAAAATACAACAAACCAAACAAACCTAACATGACTCTGACCTGGCAATGATATCATGGAAATGTATTTTGTCTTCCCTCTCTTTGCTCAAAGCTTTCAGGAGATTGGTGAAAGTGCCTGAATCTTGCAACTCCTCCATGGTATCTGTAATTATATCATTGAAAAATTGCCTATAAGGAGAAACAAAAAAGATGAATTAATAAGATAGACTTCCTTATATTCACAAAGGGCTAACTTACAGAAGTCAATAAGTTAAGAACCAGGAGGAACATCATAACCAAACTGGAATCATTCCTGGAATGCACAAATAGTTTAGTATTAGAAAATCTATTAACAAGAATTTATCACACTAATAAAGGCAAGGGAGAAAAACCATATGATCACCACAACAGATGCAGAAAAGGCATTTGGCAAAATCTAGCACACCCTCTTCATTTTAAAACAAACTACAAAAACTTTTCACAAGCTAGAAATGAGAACTTCTTTAACGTGAAAAAGCTTACATACCAAGGACTAACAAATATTGAATGTACGATATGTCACTATGTATACAACATATGCATACAACATTTAAAACCATGTAAAAGGATATGTATTTTTAAATTAGACACATATATACCTAATAAAGGTATCACAATATGTAATAAAATAATAAACACCAAATTCAGAAGAGGGTTTATATATGGGGAAAGAGTGAGAGGACTAGGATTCAGTTATGTCTTAAGTATTTTATTTAAAAAAAGCTCTAAAGCAATCATGGTAAAATGTTAAGATTTGGTGATTATATATGTAAGTATTCATTATTTCATTTATATTTTTCTACATTTTGAAAACACTTCATAATTTTGAAAAAGTTAAATCATATAAAAATGTCTTTAGAGAGCTAATAAAATTCTCACATTTTAGAGATGAGTAAATCCAGGTTCAGATAGGCTAAATGACTTGCCCAATGTCACATAACTAATTTGATAAAGAGCTAGAACTATATAATCCAGGTTCCCTTATTCCTAGTCAGGAAATTATCATAGGTAGATAATTTTTCAAAGTGTTATTTAGTGTTTTGATATAGAATCAGCAAGAATTATACTTACTATTTTACACAGTAATTTATTAACAGTAGTTCACACAGAAAGATTCAACTACATTTTTTTTAAAAGTTAAGTACACTGAAATCAAGAAACCAGTTGAAAAGATATGAGCCATCACACTGATAATGAAAGGACATTAACAAGATCTGGCAGTTTATAAGCAGGACACTTTTCTGTCATGTATGTGATTCTGAGTCAGACTGATTTTCATAAGAGACAACACCCTTCTGGTGAGGGTCTAATACAGGGGTTGGCAAACTTTTTCTGCACAGGACAAATAGTAAACATTTTTGGCTCTGCAGGCCATAGATTTTCTGTTGCAACTACTCAACTCTGCTGTTGCAGCATGACGGCAGCCACAGAGAGTATGTAACAAATGAGCAATGCTGTATTCCAATAAAATTTATTTCAGTAACAGACCACAGCCCAGACTTGGCTAGTGACCCTGGGTAATTGCTATAAATTCTTACTAAAAATCCTTACCATAATGTTACACCCTCTTTTAAATTTAACCAGCTTCTTTGTCAGCGAACTAGTTGACAACAAAAAATGAGACAATGTAAATTGAGACTGCCTTTAAGAAACCCTCAAGATTTTAAGCTGTTTTAACGCAGCTTAAAATTTGGCTACTTTGATGATGGATGTCTATCTCTTATGGCTGGATAGAGCATCGCAATAGCTACCAATTTGCGCCAGGCACTTGGTGAAAGCCTTATTTATAATCCTCATAATGTAAATTTGCTTGCATTATACTAATTTTTAAAAATTGGAAACAGGCTTGATCACTTGCCCAAGATCATATAACCACTATACTTTCAATTGTACACACTTCCTCTAGACAGTATTTAATCCTCTTCCCAGCAGCAGTCACTTAGGATATTATGATCAATCTATAAACCCATGAAGCCGTCTGCCACCTTTGCAGCCATTCTTCATCCATCTATAAATACATTATTTCCAAGTAAGCTCTCCTTCCTTACCTATCAATCTGAATTTTCTTCAGTGTCTCCATTGTCATTATAATCTGACTTGTGGGTTTTTTTAAGACGAGATCTTGCATTCTGTTAAACTTGTTGGCAAATTGGTTTCCATGTCTGATTACTGGCAATTTAGGTTCTTCTTTAGATAAGAATGAACTGGATATCTTTGAAGTTTTTGAGACCTTGGAAAGTTTTTCTAAGCTTTTTCCTTCTAAATTTGTTTCTTTGTTTTTCTTCTAAAAACAAGAAATCATGTTCTATGTAAGACATATTTTAAGAGTAAAGAAACAATGCTACAGGAGGGCCTCTGCATACATTTTTCAATCTCATCCTCTCCCCCTTGTATTTCATACTACAAGAAAATTACCCCTTCTTCAGCCATACAAAACCCCATGCCCTGCTTTTTCATATACTCCTACCTTTAGATAATATTCTGTCTCTTGTCATTTCCCAATTTACCTGGTAAACTTCCAGACAATCATCAAAGGTAAAGTTATTTGCAAAATATTCCTAATAGCAGACATTTACCATATTATAATTATTTGTATAGATATCTCTGTTAGATTGTAAATTCTATGAGGGAAGGGACAGCATCTTAGAGATCTCTGTTCAACTGAGATTGTTTTTTGAGTAAGGATAATAAATATGGCCATTTTTAAAGCCCCACTACTCAGAAAAATCCCTAGTGTATCATAAAGACACAAATGTTCATTAACTATGTGAATATGAAATATTAATGAAAGGAGGGCAGAAGCTGATGGCATGTTTAGTGGTGTGGTATAGATTTTGAAGGTCATGAGGGGAAGGTCAAAACAATTAATTTTTTAGAACCAAACTTGATACTAAGGGTTAGGCATCACCATAGAACAGCGTATGTCTTTTAACGGATGACTCCTATTTAATCTGTGACTAAAACCTTGAGCTATTAAGAGGCCATATAACAAGATTATGCATATGGACTCTGAGACCAGACTTCCTTATTTGAATCCTGCTCCATCTTTTACAGAACCATATTGACTTCAGGTAACTACTTAATACCTCTGTGCCTCCATTTTTCCATGGGTAAAATAGGGATAACAGTAGCTGCCTTCATAGAGTTATGATGAGGATTAAATAAGTTAATATACATAAAGCATTTAGAACTGTACACAGAGTTATGTAAGTGCTGCATTTATTATGATTACTTAAATTCTTGGGCTGATCCTATGAACAGAAGAAAGGTTTGTCTGCATATTGATATATAAAGTCTAGGTCTTCCTTAGCTATACTTCAACTAGCCCAGAAATGTTTAAAAGAACTATCCTTGAGAGGTTAATAAACACAGACTCAACAGCATTTTTCTTTATATTAACAATTAGCCAAGATTTAGATCTGAGGAAAACATTTGCAGGCAAGTACAAAACAAAATGCTGTCTTAAATAAGAATTAAAGTTTAAAATATGCCTTTAAGTTAAAATTGACATGACTGACTACAAAGAGAATAGAAGCCATAGAATTTCAACAATTAAACTGAAACTTATTGGACATAAGGAAAACCTTAAGTATATGGCTATTAAATAATATGGTTATTTTTTAGATTTTTGTCTAGGGAGGCAATTTGTCTAGGGAAAACAGAAGGCCTAGGAAGCTCTGTATTTCTGATTTCCCTATTTTTCCTCCTCCTTTATGCTTGGGCATCTGGAAAAGGAAGCAAATGTGTCAAGCAACCTGATTTAAGGATAACTGTAAATAAATATGAATTTTTTAAAGAACAGACTTAAAGGAACTAAATATTTTAATCTGTTCATTAAAAAGGACTTTTATATAGCATACACTATGTACAAGGTAGGGTATTAGACCCTAAGGGAAAAGATAAGACAAACAGTATTCCTTGCAGCAGAGCTCTTTGCAAATTTTGGTCCAATTATTCCCACTTCTGGTAGAACCTGGTACATTAGTGTATTTTTCATCATTCCATTCTGTAATTCTAATAAGTGAAACTCTATTTGGAGATGTCCATAGCTATTAAAAAGGCTATAAAAGAGAGATAATGCTAACTAACCTCTCATCCCAAGACTGTGATAAAGCTAAACAATGTGTTTAGGCTAAATAAGACTTAGGAGAAATAAAACATCCACATACAGATCAAGGTTTTAAAATATATATCCGACGCCCTACAGGGCAATGGCATCATCAAATTCATGAGTTAGAGTAACTACTATGAAGTAAAAAACAAAAAATCATTTTGAGATTCACAATTTTTAAATTATGGAACTAATATATTGAGAAAGGGACTTTTAAGCTATTGATTAAAATAAGAATGCAAGCCTTTATTATTTATATTACTATAAAATCATAAGGAGGGCCTCTATTAAATCAGACAATTTTGTGGGTAAAGATCACTATCATAAACCAGAATAAAACAGTGCAGAAGTTTCACTCTTATTTTCTGGAGTGGCAAGTACTGCTGAATAATGTTTATAAATTTGGCCTTTTTATTCTCTTGAGTTTCTATCATGGCAAATTACCTTTTTCTAAACCTGACAGTGAAGTATTATAATGGGATTTCAACTTGCAAACTTAATAGCTTCCTTTTATTTTTGATTCTTACTGAAAGATGAAATAAATAGGAAGGAAACACTAGTCTTTTCTGTACTATTTGTTAACTAACTTAATATATTAATTAGACTTTTGTTGTAAGTGCCTTGAAAGGCTTGGTTCTTGGGTTTCTAATCTCTTTGCTTTTCATACAATTGACAAGTTAATTTACTATAAAATTCCTATAATACCCATTAATATTGTTTTAAAACTACCCCAAAACTCACAGAATGTTAGCATTGGAAAGGGTCATATAGATCATTTAGTTAAAACTCCATCACTTTTTACAAATGAGAAAACTAAGACCAAGACGGTGACAGGAATTGCTCCTAGCACTCAACTAAACCACAAAGGTCTCCTGACTCCAAATCCAATGTTTTATTAAATCTTGTGTGAACTTATAAACTTTTATAAAAGCTTTCCAAACCCATACTATACATGTAATAAATAACTTCTAAGTTGAAAGGGGAAATTGAAAGGAAATTTAAGTATCTAGTTGCAATAAATATTGATTTCTTTTTTATTAGACATGGAAAGCAATTTCCCCTCATTTATGTAGCAATTTTCATTTTTCAGAGAATCAAAAATAAGAATATATTCTGTACATATTATAATGCAATTTTGCTAAACTTAATGTATATTTGTATTTATAAATTGTTTTATATCCACAACCTAAGTTATTAAAATTTACAAGAGCTTAAGAATTTATAAAGATTTTTCTCCCTACCAAGTTGAGTTTTTTAATAACTCAATGATGTTCCAAAACATCACTGAAAATGTAATGACTGACACAGTCATGCAGCTGGATACTCACAATGGCCGGTTGCAAAATACTCAGGATTGACAATAGTTGTTTTAGATTAAATGAATGTTGAAAGAGTCCAGTTAAATTTCCTTCCCCTCATGTTCAGTTAGCTTTTAGCAGCTGAGAAATATAAGGTGGGACAATTTGATAATTTGTCTGATCTCATTATATATACTGTATTTATTATTATTTAATTCTAGACCTTCCTGAACAGTGCCAATATATTGGGAAAAAAAGGATATTCTGACTGGTAATGTATCTTGACTTTTGTTATTTTTCTCCATCAATTGAGAGCACATATCTCAGGTAATTATTATAGCCCTTTATTTGCGATAAAGGTGCTATTTCCCATGTTATATTTAGTGGCATAGATACTATAAATGATGGAGAAATAAAAAGGAAGCAAAAATTAAACAATGGCGAGTGTATGTACCACACTATTTTTTCTTCTTTCATACGGAACTGGCATGATATAGTTTAGAATAGAGAGCTGATCTGTGGTATCCTCCAGAACTGCAGAGATCCTCAGCACATCAAGAATGGAGAGTGGCTCCAGGACTTCTGGGATGATTTCTGTGTCTGTTTCTTTAGCGGCTTCTTTCTCTTCTACAGCACTAGGTGATTCACCTGTCACTGACACAGTCACCTCAGAATGCCAAACATTTGGAGGAACATTTGTGGCTTCCAGTTGGCTTCTAAAAAGAATAAAGAAAACATAAGTCAGCCACCAAATGCTTAAAAATTACTTAAAAGCACAGGCAACACATAGATTGGCTCCTGTGATGTCTATACTGTTGTGTAATAGAACCAAGATGAAGAATAAAAGTAGGAGTTTGCATGTGATTCTGCTAAATACCTCCCAGTGACATTTTGGCCATCCAAAGGCAAGGAACTTACTGTTTAATAATTATAGGTAGCCCATAGTATTTGGCTATGCTTAACCAATTTGAGTTTGAGCCCAAATTAACTTTTTTTCTAGCAACATCTTTAGATGCTAACTAAAAGTGTCTCATGATTAGTGAAAAACAATGTGATAGCTAGTCTCCAAGGTGGCCCATATGATGTTCAGCTTCCTGTATTCATGTCCTACTATAGTCTCCATGACACTGAATAGAACTAAGAATATTGTGGGTTTCAAGACTAGATGAAAACAAACTTTGCAGCTTTTCCCTCACTCTCTCATATATGTCACTCTGTGGGAAGCCAGCTGCCTTGTCAAGAGGATGTTCAAGCAGTTCTGTGAAGAAGTTCGTGAGGGTGAGGAACTTAGGCCTCTTGCCAATAGCCAGCATCACCTTGCCAGCTCTGTAAGTGAACCATCTTGGAATGGGATCCACCAGCCCATGTCAAGTCTTCAGATGACTGCAACCCTGGCCAATTTCAGCATATGAAAGACCCTAAGCCAGAACCATCCAATTAGTAAGCGGCTCCCAAATTCCTGACCCACAGAAACTGTGAAGTAATAAATGTTTACATTTTGAGTTACTAAGTTTTGGGGTAATTTGTTAAACAGCAATAGATAAATCATACACAGAAAAACTTAACATAAGGCATAATTTAAATAAACACTCACACACAGAGTAAACCAGAATTTTGAACATACTTTTCCATTCTTCTTCAGTTAGTTTTGTTAACTTCTAGGGAACATTTATAGTCTCACAAAAATGCAGTCACCTAATCGGGAAAAAACATTGCGATTAGTTTATAGGAGAGTTGAATGACATTTAAATTATTTCTATGCTCTTTCAATAAGAGAAAATTAAAGAATTACAAGAGCTGTAGCTTATCCCTTCTTTTTGCTTATTAGAGCAGTCCCAGAGATGGAACAGCCACTGACTTCGCGAGGTGCAGGTATCTTATGTAGTCAGCTTAATTACTGGCAGATAAATGCAATCTTTGTCTTCTTCAGGTAAATTAATACTCAACATGGTTTCATTTTTTATTGTATTAATTTCTAATTAATAAACTCCATATAATACTTTTTTGTTATTCTCATTACTAAAATATTTAATTAATCAGTCCATTCCCCTTATCTGGCAGATAACAAAATTTATTGCACCTGGACTTAGAAGAATATGTGAGATTGCATTTAGAAAAACTGTATCCTGAAAATCAGTTTAATATTCTTGTCAAAATCCTACCCCTCCTCAGTAAACCAAAGTCATTCCTGCTAAAATGAACTTCACAATGAGAACACCTTATGGAGAATTCTGCTCTATACTAAATGAATGGTGAATGGTAAATTTCCATTGTGATTTTGCCCACAATAAAATTACCCTGAGAAGAGTGGTACATCTACGTCTCACACAACAAAAATCTCACATGCAAAAAATGCAAAAATATGAAAAAGGATTTTTATGTAAACTGAAAAAAAAGATATTCCAAACTAGCCAAATTTTCTAGTGTAGGGGCAGTCTTATGAGGAAGAAGCAGAGTGTTAAGTCTTGGTTCTTTTGTTGTGTGGTTGCTTCTCATTTTTTAGGCTTGCAGCCTAAGTAAATGTACTTCCCGTAAGATAAGACAGGGCTATGTTTATGCAGTATCCAGTGCTTTCATGCTGTCTGGCTTCTCTTTCTTCAATTGTAGAAACACAGGAGTCATTCCTGCTTCCTCCTCCATCTCGACATCAGCATTTCCCCAATCCAAACCACCACCAAGTCCTATGGAATTCACCTTCTATTTCCAGAGCCCTCAACACCATACTGGACTTGAGCTACTCTGCCTCTGGGCTGGAAGTGACCTTTTTTAAGTGAAAGACTGATATTTTGATTTGAACATCTGATCTTGTCTCTCCTTAGAACCCTTCAATGGTTTCCCACTGCCTTAAGACAACAGCTAAAATTCTTTTTTTTTAGTCAAAGGTACATCACTGTGGTTCAACAGTCCCCCTTCCCCATTCCTCTACCTTGGTAACCATTAGTCATTGCTCAATGTCCATGTCTAATGCTGTTTTGTTCCTTCTGTTTTGCTTTGTTATATTCCACAAATAAGTGAAATCATACGGTATTTGTCTCTCTGCCTGGCTTATTTCACTGAGCATAATATCCTCCAACAGCTAAAATTCTTAACTTGGCTCCTAAAGCCTGCATGATCTGGCCCCCCCACCCCCGCCAGTTCCTCTCAGATCCATCTGGCACTGCCGCTTCTTGCACTCATGGGTCTAGCCTCAGTGGATTTCTTTCAGTTCTCTGGAGTTATGCTCCCTTCCACCTCAGGGTCTTCGCTTAGGCTATTCCTTATATTGAATCACTCCTCCCTTTCCCTCTTCACCTTGATAAGTCCCACCGATTCACCAGACACCAACTTAAAAGAGTGGCATTCTGCTAGGTTTTTGCCATTTTACTCTCTAGAATCAATCTTCATCATTTTCTGTGCCTTGAGAAACTAACCTATATGGAATGCATCAACAGGACATTCCAGAAATAGATCCAAAGTGTAGAGAGTGAGGTCAGGTATTTATTCCTCTGGTTCCCTCCCTGCCAGATCACCATTGGTTGGCTGTTTCTTCACCAAAGGCCATGGCTCCTGTCAGGCAATCCTGTCTTTATTGCTCTCTCTTGGGAGCTCAGGTAACTACTTTTTCCCCTTGAGACTGCATCATCCCTTGAAGTTTCACTCCTGCCTACACCTTTGTAAGCAGGCCCTTTATTAAATTCCCTTCAATTCTGTTAAATATTTCCTTCCAGGGCAACACTGACTGATACAATGCTCTGCAATGACACACACATACATTTTTTATGTAGTATATATATAAATATACATGCAAATAACTGAAACAAAAGTTTCATAGAACAATTTACCCTTAACATGGGTGATATATTGATATTTTTGATTCCATCATATTTTGCTTTAAAAAGTATTATAATATGATCATTATCTAATGGGCCATCACTTGCAGTTTGAAATATGCCTTAAATGATGCTTCTGCATGACACTTTCCCTGACTCATCAGGCTGAATCAGGATTAGGATTTCTCTTACTTGCCTGCAGATCTCTCCTCACAATTTGTAATGTTATGTCAGTTTCACTGTGAGAGCAGGAACCACAGTGATGCTCACTATTGTATCCTAATTTTCAGGCACTGGGCTCAATAGGTATTTGCATAATGAATGAACACAGGAATGATACACACTTACTGTGTTATTCCTTCCAAGACTACTTATATTAGGACTTATGGTACATTTAATAGTATAATTTCTAGTACATTTCTGGGACAGAGAAAATTGGGTGGGAGAGTAGGCTATAAGGTACCTAAACTCTATCTTTATGTACTTAAGAAAGGATCTGATTTTGAATATGATTTATATACATTTATTTCATAAAGCTTAGGAGTCAACCTTTACTCTTTTCTTTCTTTTTCCTTTTCTATCAGCAGATTGTCAGTATTACATCGAAAACATATTCAGAATTCCAGTACTCATCACCCCTGCTACATGCCATAATCTCTCATCAAGATCCTTACAATTGCTGTCCATCTATCTAATCGATGTCCCTGCTGGCGCCCTTGCTTCTCTTCAGTCTTTACATAGTGACCCTGTTAAAATAGAAGTCAGGTCGAATCCACTCCCTTGTACGGAGTGCTCAAATGACTTCCCATCTCAGAGGAAAATCTTCCTTTACAGTGGCTTCCCTGCTTAACTTTTCTCCATAGAGAATTTTTTTCTCACACCACTTTTAATGTGCTGTGTATTATTATTGTTTATTGTCTTGCTCCCGCTTCTAGAAGTTAAGCTCTGTAAGGGCAGAAACTTCCGTTGTTTTGTTTACTGTCCTCCGAGCCAAGAATAAAGCTTGGAACATGGAGTCTTTCAATAAACTATATGTTGAAAAAAATGAATGAATCCATAAGGCAATCCAAATAAATGTGCAGTAATTAGGATATGTACCTCTCTGGCGTCCACTAATCTCTCATTCTAACTCTACAAGTGTTCAGTGAAGACCTATTACGTGTGGGCACCGTGCTGGGCGCCCCGAGAGTTTGGCAGCTGCAGGACTTCTTACAAGTCAATAAAGCCTTTTCACCGCGGTATTCCTCAGCCCTGGGGGCAAAACGAAGGATGGAGGTAAGAACCGAAGTCACTTTAGATAAAGGAGAACTGGGAGGAAAGAAGTAAGAAAAAAAGTGAAGAGAAAGGAGAGCTAGCTGCTGGCCTTTCTCTCCAAGCTAGGACCGGAGTAAGACCCCCACTAAGGGGTGGTAAGAGGGAAAGATACCCCAACGTCGGCGAACAAATCCCGTGCACCCGAGGCTGGAGGACGTCCGCGTGTCCGCGTTTCTGACTACACCGCCACAGGGCGCGAGAGCCAAGCTGGGTGCTTCTATGGCAACGCTCAGCTTCGGAGGACCTTACCTTCTCCTTTCGCTGGCTACCGGTTTGCCTTCCTCTATTCCAAATTAAATTACGTGTTGCATCCTACAGAGATGAAAGGATTTAGGGAAAGAATTGTAAGAGTCGTCTTGAATGTGGTTCGTTTCTGTCAGAGAACAATTTCTGAGGCTTCTGGGCGATCGCAGAAGACGCCTTATCTGGGGGCGGGGCGGAGGCGCTTATCCCAGTAGGCCACGCGGCGGGGCCTCGCCTTTCTCTTTCCGCCATCTTGGAGCCCCTGGAGGTGAGGGGAGCTCCTGGTGCTGAATTTTGGGGGCAAATAATAAGAGTGGGCTCAGTTATATACCTCGGCCAGGCACTGGTGCGGCTCGGAGGCTCTGCCTGCCAGTGATTTGTATAGATTCCGGCATCAGAGAGGACAGGATGGAAGAGATGTGGGACTGATGCTGCTGGTTCCCTGGAGAAGAGGCGCTCCGGTAATCGGGGTTGCTACCTGGACCCTAGCAGTTAGATACTCGAACGTTGTTCTCCCGCCGTTCCCCTTTTGAGGCAGTGGCTTCTTAGGCTGGCTGGCTGCTCCTTTCCAGACCTGGCTTTGCTTGTCGACAGTCTCTCTTTCCCCAGCTTTTCTCCCATTAGTGCCTGAAAGCCTTGTTTTCTACGTGCTTCTCTGATTTCTTGAGTTTTTTTCCCTCCAGGTTGTGGCATTAAATTTTTTAGGGCTTCCTTTTGGCATTTCTACGAATTACTTCTTCTAGTGTAGAGTCTTGCCACCTTCGTTTTTGTCTTCGTTTTGTAGTTTGTTTAGCTGTCAGACATTCTCTGAGGTGGAGACGTCTTGCTAGACTGCGCTTCATGTAGATATTATGGCATAAGTTACGTTTTCCCATTTTCTTAATATGAAATGCCGATCAAAAAGGGATTTACCTGACAGGTTTAAGAAACGAGAGGGAACTGACTGGGTGGGAAATGTGCTTTGCTAAATACTAAACTGGTTCTTTTGTTTTAAGGAGTGCTGGGAACAGAACTTAAAAACCAACAACTATGTCTGGAAGGTACGGATTTTAAATTGTTCTGTACTTGTAGTTTTCTTGTTTATTAGACATGAACTTTAATGTGAGCTTAAGACTGGTGGGAAAACATTAATTTGCTGTAGATAATATTTGGGTAGGGGTAATTACAAGTCAAGTCGTACTAGTGGTTTATTGAAGTAAAATCTTTCAACGGCTTATGGTTAATAGTATTTTGTGTGTCTTAGGCTGTGGTCCAAGGCCATTTTTGCTGGCTATAAGCGGGGTCTCCGGAACCAGAGGGAGCACACAGCTCTTCTTAAAATTGAAGGTGTTTATGCTCGAGATGAAACTGAATTCTATCTAGGCAAGAGATGTGCTTATGTGTACAAAGCAAAGAAGTAAGTTTATACTACTGTCATGCTTTTTGAATTTCTACTTGATTTGTCTCGTTTACCTATGAAAGAATAAACAAAAGATGTTCATAAAGTGGTACTGTTGTGCTTCTACTTTGGGTCTTTAGGGAACTTCATGAGGTTATGGAGGGACGTCGCTTTGTGGGTAGTGTTGAATTTAACTGCTAATTGTTTCAGGAAAAGAGCCAATTTATACTCCTCTTAAGGTTCTTTTCATGTACCTTAATTCATTTCTTTGGTATCTTGAAATTGTATTTTACATTCATGCTTAAAGGTGGTATGTCTTTAGAGCATTTGTTCTTAATCCTGGGTTTTAAAACCCATTCCAGACAAATTAAACCCATTCTAGACGAATTCCAGATGAATCTGGGGACATGGCTTTCATCTTTGCCCTACTTCTTTCTGTAGCCAGAGTGACCCTTTAATATTGTAAGTCAAATGATTTGCACATTGCCCTAACTCCAAACTGTTACCCATCTCATTTAGTAAAAGTCAGAGTCATTAAGGAGCCTCTAAGACTCTGTGCAACCAGAGCTCCCTATTTCTACTCTTAACCCAGCTAAGGTATCTTCTGCCTTTCCACAAGCCAGGGACACATCCTTCTAGGGTTTTTAACACGTTCTGTTTGTTCCCTTGTTTTCCAGTCATAGTTACATCATTACCTTCTTAGTGAGGCATTCCCTGATACTAAAATTGCAAAAACACTTCCCTCTCCTTACCAACACATCCTCACAGTTCTTGCTTTTTTTTCCCTCTCTCTTCCCAGTATTGCAGCTATTACTATCTGACGCATTTTATACATTTTAGTTAGGTTTTCCTCCTAAATGTATTGGAAAGTGCTGTATTTTACAAACTACAAAAAAGCACCCTTACAAAAGCGGCATACAGTGTAGGTACTCAGATACTTGTTGAATGAAATGATGCTCCATACTTAAGTTTTTCAGGTGACTGAGTGGTTAACTATGGTTGAGAGCTGCTAGACTAAAGGTAATCTTGAATTTGTGTCACTACTAGTTGCCTGGGTTCTTATGCCTCTTTGTCTCCTTTTAAAATCAGCAACACAGTGACTCCTGGCGGCAAACCAAATAAAACCAGAGTAATCTGGGGAAAGGTAACTCGTGCTCATGGAAACAGTGGCATGGTTCGTGCCAAGTTCCGAAGCAACCTTCCTGCTAAGGCCATTGGACACAGAATCCGTGTGGTAAGTACAGTTATTAGCAACATGATACCCGGTTGGGTCAGACTAAGCTCAAGGAGTTGGGCTTTGACCTGTAAGGACTTCTGTAATTATAAAACGTTACCAGTAGGTTATGCTCCAGAATTAGTGACTACTGTGTAAATGTATTCTGGAACATCAGATTTGTGTCATTAGGAGGAAAGTGAAGGCAAAGTGCTCAGATGGATTGTGCCTGTATTTCAGCTTTTGTTCTAGCTGCTTGGGGTAGGGGAAATAGCATTTAAATGAAAAATTATCTGGCACTGGTAGTTTATGAGTCTCTGAAGTAATTGCTAGAAAACAAAAATTCAACACACCTTTTCCTGGCATTGCTCTTAGTGATTTCTCATCTCTTCATCATAACAGTCTTTTTAGAATAGGTGTATTAGCCTTATAGAAGAAAATCAGTGCTGATGTCTTTGTCGCAAGATCCTGTGGTTTTTTTAAAACATCTCCTGTGTTCTTGAGTTGGGATCCATTTTAATGTACATGGCCATATTCTTGAGTGTATTTTTGAACACAGGTACTTTTGAGCCCTGCTGAGCAGTTGAGATTACTCATCAGAGTAAGTTTTTACTCTGTAATTAAAAGAGGCAAAATTAGATGGATGTGCGTTGGTCCCAGTGATGGTTCTTAAAGCATATTCACCTGGAAATATATAAGTAGTCATGATGGTTTTCAGAGATGACAATGGGAGATTTATCCATATTGTGGCACTTAGTAATATTTGTAAATTTGTATATAACATGCAACTAATAACATTGTATTTTTTCCCCCCAGATGCTGTACCCTTCAAGGATTTAAACTTAATGAGAAGTAAATAAAGTGGATTTTGTTGTATTTTTTTTTAATGGCTTAAAAATAATTTTCCCCTAAAATCAGTTGCTGTGTGCTGAAATGGTTGTGGCTGTCAGGCATTTTTGGAGTGCAAAGAATCCAGAGTTAAATGTAATGGCAATTTACAGAGATTTAGACAACTTTTAATGAGGATAGTATGTGAGTATCTTAACACAAAGCCTTACCTGGTGGGAGAGACAAGCTTTGGTTGGGGACAGTGGAAAGGAGTATATTGAAAGTGATGGAGCCCTTGAACCTGCTCTCTGAAAAGCTTTTGAAGAAATGGAGACAGCATATTCCAGGAAGGGGAGAAGCCAGAAATTTTAGCCAGTACAAGATCAACACCATGACACAGATTTCCAAATCAAGATGGATCTGTAACTCTTCCCCATAAATTTATTTCAACTTTATAAACTTGGTACTATGGTTTATTAAATGTAACTTCCTCATTAGATGGAGAGTCAGTAGAAGAAACTTAGATTATATTGATGACCTCTTAAAGAATCTTTGAAAAGTAGGCACTTGTCAACAGATTGGTTGGGAAACTTGTGACTTAAAAGTGGTAGTTGGGAAAATTTCAAATGGAGGGTGTAATGGTATTTGGCAGCTCATTCAGATAGGCAGGGGTGAGAGATCCTTGGGATTTGTGACTGGACAAAGCATTCCAGTATATAACACTTGATGGGAATAATGTATCAAATTGAAAATATCAAAATGGCATGTGCCTTAGAAAAAATACTGTGAAGGGTGGGGTTGCCTGGACAGTGTAGCTCTCCTTTACTCCATTTTTTAATGTAGAAAGTGCAGGATTGAGGTATTTCAGTGTAGTAGAAAGGAAACTAAGGGTTGCAGAATATTTAAAACCTGTTGAAATAAAAGTTTTAATTAAGGATTGGTATGCTATATGATGATTATAGATTTTTGATGCAGTAGCAGCTAGTCATTAAATATCTTGACATTCCACTGAAAATACCAGTAGGGAAGTGGGTGTTTATCAAACCTTGCTCAGTTTTTTATTGTATTTGGGTTCTCTAGCAGATGCTAAGAAAATAATCATGCTTAAAATGGGGGTCTGGGCAGGGGGGCCATGAGGATGACCTTTGAAAGAGGATGTGGGAAAACATTTGGTACAGCAGTTCTAAGGTTTGCTTGGCAGTGGTAGTCCTCAAGCCAAGCTGCTGTCAGAGGAGTCCCATGTTTAACAAAAATGGGCTTGTGTTTGTATTGCCAGTGTTCCTTGCCTAGCAGCTGCCCTTGGGAAGTATAGCCTTGAAGCAAAAGGTGGATGGTGAGAAGCAGCTTGAAGCCATTGGTCAGTTATGCGCTCTACTGAGCCACCAAAGGTTGGAATTTGTTTATTAGAACTAAGAAAATTGAACTTAGAAAATCCAGGGTCAAGGGCAGGAAGTCCCAATCTGTGATCTACTAAAATATGAGATTCATTTCCGCTTCAAAAAACCAACATAAATTAAAAGTACCAACTTTGCCGTGCCAGTTAAGTAGATGTATCAGTAACTTGGCAGTGGTCAGGGGTGAAGACATGCTTGGGGAGGTATTTAGGGAAAAGGAAATTTCATGAGAAGGCATTTGAGGAGCAATTCTGTAGTGAGGAACTGTATTATGTAGTGTGACAAACCTGCTGGGGGGAGTGATGGGGCAGTAAGTCTAGAAAACAAATGCCAGAGTAAATAAAGGCTTGTGGATTGTACTAAGGATTTAGACTTAATATTGTACCTGTATTGAGAACTTGATTGACAGGGTAACAAGGTCCATATTTTAGAAAGGTCTTAGTGGCAACCCAGCATAAACTGAACAAGGGAAAACCAGGTAGGTTTTGCAGTCTTAACAGATGTTTAAGCACCAAAATGGAGCTGACTCCATAAAATGAGTAGAATTTTAAGAACAATATATTGTGGAGAGGACTGCAAAGGTAACATGTTCTTAGCTTTGATTGCTGGGTGGGAATAGTGCATTTACAAAGTTCGCAACCTGGGACATGGTTTTGTTGTGGGGAGGGAAGTTGCTAAATTTGAGGAAACTAGGATGCTCACTTGTGAAAGTGCCTGGGAAGGCAGATGGATATTCAGGGTTGGCGTAGGCATATAGAGAGAAAAAGATGTCAACCTGTCACCTTTGTAGGAATTGAGTCTTTGGTTTTCTGAGTGGGATAATGTTAGGAGAGCAATATGAATTAATAAGTGGTAGGTATTTGAGCAAAGCAGGGAAAAGAAGGCTGAAAACCCTTAGGATGACCTCAGTAAATGAAGTGGCCAGCTGCATGTAAATTATAGTTGATCTTTGAGCAACACGGGTTTGAACTGCCCTGGCCCACTAAACACGCAGATTTTTTCAGTAAGTACTTTGGGAAAGTTTGGAGATTTGCAAGTTTGAAAAAACAGCTCAATTGTAAAACATGTAATACATAGAAAATGTGTTGTTACAGGTAAGGCTTCTTGGTCACGTTATTCATAGTTAAGTTTTTGGGGAATCAAAAGTTAGATTAACCACTGGGAGGGGTTAGCACCCCTAATTTGCCATTGTTCAAAGGTCAACTGTAATCCTATTTTCAACTGAGTGCAACACCTGTGAAAGCATGCTTAATGCTTTTCTGCTCTGAGGTTTGGTGCTCAAAAGTTTTCAAGACAGTTGCCATTGGAGGAGTACCATTTTTCATAGAAATTACCTCAAATGGCTAGCAGCTTGCTTGCTAGGCCATTGAAACAGACTGTCCCAAGCATGACACTACTGTTAAAAGTACTGAGCTGAAGATGACTGGTCACATTCTTTGTTACATATCCACGTAGTGGAAAGAGCACAAGTTCTGAAAGTTAAATCTGGTTTAGAATTACAGCTGCTGCTAGTTGTGGGATGATAGACATTATCTAATGAGTCTTTTCTCGTAATATACTCCATCCTTGTATTAGTATGTGTTTTTGATAAATGAGTTGTAAACCGTAAAGGTTTTCTTTACCCCTCAAGTTGTTAATATTTTACAATATTCGGTTCCTATTGGATGACTTCCAGCTCAGAGCTTCCAATTTCTCATTATAATTCTTTTGTTAAAGAATTTGTTCCAGTTTCTCACATCTCAGTTTTGAAGATAATTTCCTTAATGGCAAGGATTCACCCCAGTCTTTATCTGGGTTATTGCAATTGCAATTCTTATTTTTATACAAGATGAAATTGAATAGTAAAAGACACATCGCTGGTTTTATAGGAAATTTACTTCACTTTAGAAGAACTAGGCCTAAAACAGGTGACTCAGGTTAAGTAAAAATGAAAGTTACATTCTTTCCACCTGTTACACAGAGGGCTCCACCATAAAATACCTTGCAGGGAGTTTATGTCTGTCTAAGCCACCTGGCACCCAGTAGGTGCACATATCTTCAGTAACTGAATTACAGGCTGAAAAACTGCCTTAGTAACGACAACATACTACCCTTTCAGAGCCAACAGCATCCCCTATACCCGCCGTACTACTCACGTGGGCCGCTAGGCAGAATCTATTGGTCGCTTTCGCTCAATGAGACGCGGTGGACGGGCTGCCATGCCTATCTTGGGCGGAGAACTTGTGGTTGACGTTAACCAGTTGAAAGACGTCTTTACGCCGGGTGGTCCTTCCACTAGCTCCGGCGCGCAGGCGTCACGTACTCCATGGTAACGATGCTCGGCCCGAAGATGGCGGCTGAGTTGGGAGGAGTGGCTTCCTCCGGTTCAGGCCTGGGCCCAAGCCGGTGGCGCTGGAGCGGTTCTTTATGGGTCCGGAGCATTTTACTCCTGTTGGGCGGGCTGCGGGCAAGCGCTACATCTATTCCTGTCTCCATGAGCAGTTCCCCTCCCTGCCGGCACCTCGTCCCCTCTGATACTGAGGTAGGGCGAAGGAGCGGGAGAGGGCCCTGTAGGGTAAAGTAGTAGTACGGGAGGGGGTGACCTGGGTAGTGATGGGAACAGGGTGTATCGGAGACGGCGAGATTGGGCCAGACATCGAACTCTTAAAGAGGGTTGGGACATGCTATCAACTCCCCTCCTGCACCCAGCAAAGTGGCTGAGTTAGGCACTCAGAGCATCATCACTTTCCTGTGGGGAAGGTTGTGCTTAGCGTAGTCAGTGGTTTTCAAACTTCAGCGAGCATCAGAATCACCGGAAGGACTTGTTAAAACACAGATGGCTGCCCTACTTCCCCGCTCTGTGACTCATTAAATCTGGGGTGGGTTCCCCATAATTTGCAGTTCAAGTTCTGGTTGGTTAGTAATGCTGCTGCTTGTCCAAAAACCTCACTTTGGGAACCACTGATCTAAAAGGTTTGGGAAGGAATTGATAGGGAAGGCGCTGCGGGGATATTAGGGATTCTCTGAAGACAAAATCCAGGTTTATTTTCAAGTTACTTCACATTGCCTGCTTTAGGGAAATCTCTTGCCTTGTAAGTGCCTGCCTCCTCTCTCCGTATTTATGTGTCTGAATTCTTCAGTCTCAGCTTACTTTTCCCAACCTCAAGACAGCCTGCTGAAACCACCCCTCAGAACGTTCGCTCTTTCATTGCACAGTACATCTTATTTGTGCTCTCTCTGGCACTTAACCAATTACTGCTGTGTGATAATGGCTGATTTTTTAGGCATGTCTTACTTCCCTTTGTAGTTAAATTGTAAGGTTCCTTGGGATAGGGTGTGTGTCTTACACTTTGATACCTTACACAGTTAAATCAAAGGAGGGCCCCCAATAAGTGTTCTTTGAGGAAAGGAGACGTATTACCTGGGATAGGGCTGCATGTTGTGATTGGCTTTATAATTTTCTTATTATTTTATCACGAAAGATCAACCCAGAAATTTTCAGGTCAGCTCAGAAATCTAAGACCACTTATTTTTATGGTAATTCACAAAATTTCTATGCCTATTGTTGATATGCACCAAAATAATAAGTTTGGGGTTGTAGTGTGTTAAAGCTTTTATCATGACGCTGTATTTTGGCTGAATTAATTAAAATTTAAAATGTCTTAGCTACTTTTAAGTTTATAATACAGCATTATCTATAATCACTGTGCTGTGCACTAGATCTCCAGTACTTCTTTATCTACTGCTGGTTGCAAGTTTGTACCCATAAACAACATCCCCAATTTCCCCAACCTTCTTTATGAATTATTTTAAAGAAACATTCCTACAATTTGAATTTCTTTGAATGTAGATTACAATAAGAGAAAGTACTTCAAAGAACTACAACAGTCTCTGTGCTAACGGGAACTTAGTATCTGTTTTCTTCTTAGTGGCTTTGCCAGTGTAGAAACCTCCAACTTGTATTTGAACATCTCCATGGATAGGGCAGTTATCTCCAGAGGCAGCTCATTCACTTTCTGAGACCATTGTCCAAGTACTTCTTTATATAGAGCTGAATATTCTTCCTGAAACAGCCTATCCCTATTTATGCCTCTTTTGGTTGAACAAACTCACTAGTGATAATGCTTCAGATATTAAAAGCAAACTATTAAGTTATTGAGAGTTCTCATCCCCAATAAATTTTCTGGGTTCATCATAAAGTGTCTAACAGCAAGTCCCCCTAACCTCTTTCCTTTAACTTGGGCACAAAATACAGGGAAGAACCATTCATTGTACTTGTAAGATAAATTTTAGCCTAAATAAGCAGGCTAAGAGAGGCAACAAAGGACCAGGCAGTTTATTTGAATGCCACTCCCGGGTGATGTTCCGCAGTCTGGGTATTACAAGCTGGGGAAGTCACACCTGGTCAGGGAGGTCGGGGGCTTATAAGAGATTAGGAGGGGGAGGAGTGGGCAAGCTATCCTAGGGGGCATGGAGAGGTATGATTGGCTAAAGGTGACATAATAGACAACTAGAAACTTTTTTTCCTTCCAAGAGGGAGGAGGCTGACATCTGAGTCTTAGTTGGCACATCAGAAGGATGGAATTCAGAAAGAGCTGTCCCCTTTCCATATAAGGCACGGACCTTGAGGTCTGGTCTGTTCACCCCCTATGCCATCTCTCTGTTCTGTTTGCATGTCCTTGTTTTTCCTTCCTCCAGCCTAACATTCCAGCCTTTTGGTCATAATGGGCGACAACTCTATCTGGCTACTTCCGGCTGACAAGGGGCGTCGTGGGGGTTTGAGGCTGGTATTAGGCCGAAGGAGGGGGCTCAGTGGGAAGAGGTGCGTAACGGTGAAGTAACATCTTGTTGGTGGCGACCTGGGTCATCTGGGTTAGCCGCTGTTGGAGGAACCTGAGGAAACAAGGGGCAACCAAGGGTAAACTACAAACTATTATTAAGGGGCCCAGTAGGGGCATTAGCCAGGCTATTATGGGGGACTGGAATTCTGGATCAAGTTTACATCTCAATGACTAGTATTGGGATTTAGTATAGCTAAGACTGCATTATTGAAACAATACTTTTCTCTAAAATCACCCTCATTTTTATTAGAAGTAGCCAGATTAAGAAAATAATTAACAGTTGGCTTGATTATTT